TAAACCCTAAACCCTAAACAAAATGGTATTAAGGCTTTAGGATTTTTCAGGGCTAGGGTTTTCAGGCCTCGGGGTTTTGAAGGGTTTCAGGCTTCAGGTTAGGGCCTGAGCCTTCGGGCTGTTGAGGTTCCAAGGGAGGTTTAGGGTTTAGGGTNNGGTATTTCCCCCCCCCAGCCCCCCCCCCCCCCGCACCAGCCCCCAGCAAGCCCCCCAGCTCCCAGCCACAGGCCCACGAAAATGGGATGTTTGACTTTTGCCCCGACCTGGCCGCCCCAAGCCAGCCCCCGAGCCCCCCAGCCACCCCCCCCCAGCCACCCCCCCCAACCCCAACCTCCAACCCCCAACCCCCCAGCCAGCCCCCCCAGCCCTCCAGCTTAGGGATTTGTAAGGCATATTAGGGTTTAGTGTCTGGGGTTTCGCGGGGTTAGGGCTCACGGGTTCAAGGCTGTTTCTATTTGTTTTGCTGTGGTACTAGTAGGGTTTACCAGGGTTGTAGAAGTGATTTGTAAGGGTCCTTAGGTAGGGGTTTCCGAAAATAGGGGNNCCCTAATATACCACCCTAAATAATAGTAGGATGCATATTGTAAGGACCCCCAAAATAAGGTACCCCTAATTTTCGGAAACCCCCCAGGTGTAGGTTTGTTACGGCTTTCTGCCTTTTAGGGTTCAGGTGTGCAGGATCTGCCCTTGTTCGCACCCTCGGGGGGTGCTCTTGCTAACCGTCCCTAAACCCTAAACCCTAAACCCTAAACCCTAAACCCTAAACCCTAACCCGAAACGGTTAGACTACAGTCTGAACTCCTGGGATGCAGCTTCGAGGCTGAGTAGGTAACCTTTAACCGTAGGGTTTACGGTTTAGGGTTAAACTCAATCTTTTGGCGCTTATACAATTTATGCTTTTTGGCTTAATAAGCTTAACCATGACGAGCCTTTGTTGGTCTAGGGTACTCAGCCCCTGAGACAGCCACTGCACCCGAAGAGCTCAAAGACTGGATGACTCGGCTTCGCGATAGCCCGGTGCAGGAAGCTCCGTCAGACCTCTCTCTAGGCCTTAGAAACACTTTTGCTCTGAGTGAGTGCACTTTAGACCTTTGGGATAATATCATCCCCTATAGAACTGTAAGTCTGCACGTTGTTTTGGCTTACGCTCCCCTGGTTTTGTTTTGTTGTGTCAGAGGCTTGGAGGCGGACAGGCTCGTAGTGAGCACTCTAAAAGGGTTTGGGGTTTAGGGCCTTAGGGTTTAGATTCGGGTTTAGGGTTTAGGGTTTAGATTCTCTGCCTGGCGAATGCTTCTATGTGCACGCCGCCAACGCACACACCCGCCGCCGCGAGTCAGTAAGGCATAACTTTCTTCCTGCCTTTACTTCTTTGGGGGTTCCAATGCAGACGTTTGTTTGGACCCTTGCGTTGTTGAGCTGCTGTACATTTGGGTTTGGCTTGCTCGGCCTGGCACGGGAGGGCAGGGGAAGGATCGTGCTGTCCATGGGGCGGCAAAGGGGCAAGACGAAGTATATTTGCTACTGCATTGCCAAGCAAACTTGTGCAGTGATCTTGAGTTGATGTTTCTTTTCACAGATGTTTGCCCCTGGTACTGTCCACTTTCTGATTCCAGCAGATTGTCAAAATCTGCACGTATGGGGTGTTTCTGATCTTAGTCAGCAGTTTGTAAAGGAAGGTAAGCTCGAAACCTTCGGCAGGCGGATGGCACTTTTGCTGGCACCCTTCCCAGCTGTGAACGAACGCCGTGCATGCCAGGCGCCAGCAGCTCATGTCATTTGTGCCACTTGAATATTAAGATGCGCTGGTATCTTTGTACGTCAAAAACTGGCAATCGCCACAAGCTTGTTTGGCAGAGTTCAGCCGGAGTAGCAACAAAAGAAGAAATACCTACCAGGCGACCTACGTACCTTGTCTTGAGCAACTCCAGCAGCCGGAGACAAAGTAGTAGCGGTGGTAATAGTAGTAGTAGCAGCAGCAGCAGCAGTAGTCGTAGTAAGAGTCGTCGTCTTTGTCGTAGTCATTTACGTAGTTGTGGTCGCGGGGGTCGTAGTGGTCGCAGAGGTCGTCGTCGTCGTCGTCGTCGTCGTAGTAGTAGTAGTAGTGGTAGTGGTAGTGGTAGTGGCGGTGGTGGTGGTGGTAGCAGCAGCAGCAGAAGCAGCAGCAGCAGCAGCAGCAGCAGCAGCAGCAGGAGGAGGAGGAGGAGTAGTAGTAGTAGTAGTAGTAGTAAGTAGTCGTAGTAGTCGTAGTAGTCGTAGTGGTAGTACTAGCAGTGCTAGTAGTACTTGTAGTGCTAGGTAGTACTAGAGGTACTAGGAGTTCAAAGAGAAGTACGTGGTAGTAGTAGTAGTAGTAGTAGTAGTAGCAGCAGTCTACTATTGTCGTAGTAGTAGTAGCAGCAGCAGCAGCAGTACTAGTAGTCGCAGAAGAAAAGAAGTAGTAGTAGTAGTAGTAGCCGTTAGTAGCAGTGGTAGTTGTAATGGTAGTGGTAGTGGTAGTGGTAGTAGTAGTAGTAGTAGTAGTAGTAGTAGCAGTCTACTATTGTCGGACCAGTATGAGCCCCTGTTGTTTTGATGATGGCTGGTGGGCGGTAGTTGCAAGAGTGGCCGCAAGCAATGGTAGTCGTAGTGTGTGTTGAAGTTCAATGGCAGCTTTTGAGTTTCCTCGCGGTATGCAACCGTAATACAATATTTTTGATAATTGCAGTTGAAAACCTTCCCGTGGGTCAGGGGGCTTGCCTGTCTCGCCCGGCCTCAACGTCAGCAGCTGCATGTACCTTTTCGCAGGCGGCCTGGCTTGAAGGTGTCACCGAGCTCATTCACGGAATCGTACATGTGAAACTATGTACGTATGTTTGCACACATGAAGACTGCCAGTGTATGCATGCATACATCGCTACATGTATGCTATGTACTTGCAAGTCTGCGTATACTGCTGCAAGGTATGCATCTGTAATTAATTACGCGAACAGTTTCGGACGTTTGTTGTGTGTGTGGACGTTTGGTATTGTGAAACTGCCTTTCACGAAGAAGGTGTGCATCCTAAATCGAGCGTGTACGCACGCATGTAGGCTTGCGTTGAAACAACATACCTGTCTTGTGGATTTGAGTCCGGCTAATATGGGGTTCCTTATTACAATTATAGTATAATGGGCTCCAAAATCCGCTTCTCTGACTACTACGGCCCCTATATTAATATATTCGGGCACACACGAAAAGATGAAATCCTGCAGTTGCAGGTTTGTCAAATTCCTCATGCACCGCATCGGTATCATTCTTAGGGCTGCCACCAGTCCCCCGTAATCGCGCCGTACACCCTAAACCCTAAACCCAGCCTATACCCAAAAGCCTACTCCCCAACTCTAGGCCTTGCTAAACCCGGTGAGCCTATCAGGAGAGATCCCCATCCTAAACCCCAAAACCCCAAAACCCTAAACCCTAAACATTTACCCTGCAACGCGGGCTTGTCCTTGATAAGTAGGAGGCAAAAAACCTCTAAACCCCAAACCGACAGATCTCTCAGGAGAGATCCCCATTCTGCACACGCTTTAGCCCACCCCATAGCCCACACCCGGCAGTAGGGTGGTGAGGTCGGGAATTTTTTAGCAGTTGGTTCCATTGGCCGACGAATTCGGACGAAGCAGTACTGTCATTTGGAGCCTTTCGGTTGTGCTTTCTCGCAGCAAAGCCGTACCAAGCTATCTGGAACCCTTTTGAACCCTGGAGCCTAAGCCGCCTTAGAGCGGAACCTCAGCGGCCCAGGTGAGACCTGCGAAATCACATGCGCATTGGGCTTCGAAGGGAGCGCATCAACCTACAGCTGCGTCTTGGACCAAACATGAAAAAGGAGTAGCTAATGCAGAGCAGCACTGCAGGTTCGAAAGTGTATGCATGCTGTTTATATTCATTTACACATATGTACTTGCTATTTTTCGGAAGAGATACAGAGCTTGCAGACGTCCCCGCATACTCCCTGAGGCATATCTCCAAATCCCGGAACCCACACCGTCAAACACCCAAAACCCTAAGTCTCAATCCCTAAGCCCTAAACCCTAAACCCTAAGCCTTAATCCCTAAACCCTAAACCCTAGGATTTCGGGTTTAGCTCCTCTGCCTCGGAGGCGACATGGCGGGTGGCTTCACAGGCACTCCGCCGAGTTGCTCTCCGAAGAGCCCCCCGGCTACCTTATTTTGGGGTCTTTAGAATAAGGATCCTATTATTTCGGGTAC